CCAGCACACTGAATTGCACTCAGAAGCTAACTGACAACCAACGTATTTCATGGAACAGGGTATTACCTGGGCATATATTGTGGCATACCTATTACTGTTCGCAATGCCACATTCTGGACTGGTTATAGATTCCAGGTGGGTCTTCGAGGGCAGCCCCTTGTAAAGCACATTGTTATTGTCCAAACATGAAGTGACTAGGGTGACTGATTATCCAGAGAGCCTCCCCAATCTAGAAGTGGGTGCAACTGGTACAGCAGAAGAATCTGTGCAAAGACCTTCCTTCCCTTAAAGATAAGGAGCTGACAGTCCAGGAGAATTCCCAAGCTACACACAAATCTCAAAGGGGGAAATACTGTACTACACCATCTAGGACTAAAGATGAAAATTTCTGGGACAACAGGTCAAAGTATCCCCAACTTCTCAGTCTTGCTGAGAAGCTGGGGATACTCTTGGTCCGGCCCCCGGGTCCAATATATGAACCCATTGCGGCCCTCGAGTCAAAAAGTTTGCCCACCCCTGGGCTAGGACTCCGGGGGAATTCTCACCTAAATCCCCCCAGGCACGCTCCTGGGGGGACTAGGGAACCCAACCCCTATCCCAGCCAAACTCACTTTCTCCCCTTTGCCCGGGGAGAAAGTTCCGAGCCGCAAAACAGCTGATCCGCGCTGTTTTGATGGCTTTGACGCAGTCCCGGGCTGGAGGCTCAGGAAAAAGCCTCCTTCGGCGGCGCCTCGCCACAGGAAGCTCCGTTGCTCACTTTTTTTCAGCAGCTTGTTCCAGTCCTCTCAGTGAATGTAAAAAAAAATTCTCAATATAAGGTTGAGAGAAAAAAATAGATTTACTGCCTTACCATTCTCTTGCTTGTTACTCCAATATAAAAAATAGAGATGTGCAAAATGTTTTGAGTATTCCAAGCATGAAAGAAAATGTGTTTTTCAGAATGTTGATTCCAGATTGCAACAGAACTCTAAAAATAGACAAAATATTGCACACACAGAATACTGTACAGGTTAGACAGTATTGGACAGTTCGTGGTTGGACCAAACCACACATGTTTTTTTCTATAAATGGATCTGGAGCTTGCATATGTCAGTAGAGATGTTTCAAGGTACCTCTCCTTCCATTCACTTTACCTCAGCGGTCCCCAACCTTTTCAGCTTGGCGGACTGATTGGGGGGGGAGAAAGGATGGTTCTGTGTAAGTGGCAGGCATGCGTGTGAGCAGCAGGTGCACATGTGTGTGTGCCTGCCCCTTGCACAAATGGATCTGCATGCGTAGCTAACGCTTACGCAAGTGGAGCTGCACATATTCGCATACCCCAGTTCCAAGTGGGCTGGGGCCTGGGCGTTTGGGGACCTCTGCTTTACATATCTTTTTTCTCTATAGCATTTTTTATGGCACTGCATGATACCATGCTCATGTCCTAAGATGTCTCCCATTTTTCTTTCCTGAAGGAATCGTTTGCAGTCTAGACTCCAGGTATCACGTTTCATAGGACTTTTCATCCTCCCTGGATACTTTTCTCCTTCACAATTTTAAGCAATTGGATTCTATCTACTTTCTCATTGAGTTAATCAGAATCTGCTCTTCTGAAAACTAATATAGGTAGCTGTCAATTAATGACTGCAAACTGAGACAGGCAATTCTGTCACTAAGCGACTCAGTCATCAAGTGAAACACTCATGTGGTTATTATCACATGATCACAACTTGCAAATTACTGCTGGCTTCTCTATTGACTTTGCTTGTTGATCAAGCAATGCTATGAAGATCACAAATGGTAATCACATGACCATGGGATACTGCAGCTGTCATAAATGCACATCAGTCATGAATTGCCCAATCATGATCACATGATCCTGGGATGCTATGACCATCATAAGTATGAAAACTGTTTGAAAAATGACTTTTTCAGCAGCATTCTAAGTTTGAATGGTTGTTAAACGTGACAATCATTAACTGAGGACTATCTAAACATAGATCAGATTCTTTTTTATTTTTTCACCCTGGTCTTCATGAACTCATTGCTAACATGATTATATTCAAGGTACCAAACAATTTCTTCTCTTTATTAGAAGATACTAGGGCCTTTTTTAAAATAACAAATTCTAACCTAAGCAGATATTTCAGTTGCTGACAATAAAATTTGAGTTTTCTTCAGTGATTTATTTTAATGTTTTCAAAATCTCTCACCAAATATTTTATTTGTTAAAATTGTTGCCATGTAACTAACAATTTATTTACAGTGTATCACACTATTTTTGAATTCATCGTAAAGTACTATAATTGTTTTGGTAAAAAACTGTCAGGAGGAAACACATTTTGCAGTGAAAGGACAACATTTAAAAAACAGCATAGTATTTAAATGAATACCAACTGGGAGCACTGCTTGGACACACTTTCCTGCAATATAAACTCTGCATTGTCCTTAGAGAACAAAATAGAGAATGATCAAGAGAATGAAAATGTTAAAGCTACAATGAATCTCATTAAAAAGAAAAAAAACGAATTTGTGATCTTTCTTCATTCAAAGCACAATACAGTAGGAAAGAAAACAAACCCAACAACCACCAAAATTCACTAATAAAACCAGAGAGATAACCAAAGGACAAACAGAAGGGATGTTTGCTATAACAGATGGTAAGTCCATGAATTTAGGTTAATCTCATGAATGGTTAAGAGATTCATTTAAGACTGTCTCAGACTATAATATGAACAAGTAAAAGATACATCTAAAGCTACACCAAAGCAGAGAAGCAACTGGCTTATGCAACGACTTTCCGATCACTGTTTCTTGCCGTTGTGAATATCATCAAATAACTATATAAAAATATAATATCAAGTATTGTGGCACTTTCAAATATGATGAAAAGATTTTCTAATTTTTGTTTATTTTGTATTTCTTTTTTTAAAAAGTCAACTTAATGAGGTTGATTTCCTACTGAACTGCTTCAAGTTCTATAAGAGGAGCAGGGTGTTTACCTGTAAGTGAAATGTCTAGTCATTATACTGGATTCTGCAATTGCATAAAACATTTTAGAAACTGTGAAACAAGTTGGCATTCCTGCCCCCTCCTTTATCCACAGAGATAGATCATTACCCTCCTATACAGTTTTTTTCAGCATTGCTTCGTGAACATTAAAATTGCAGGTAGTCCTTGACTTACAACCACAATTTGGATCGGAAATTCAGTCACTAAGCAATGCAGTTGTTAAGCGAGTCATCATGTTAACTGGATTTTATGACCATTTTTACCGTGGTTGTGTTAAGAAATCACCATGCTTGTTAAGTGAATAATGTGGTCATTAAATGAATCGTGCAGTGAATCCAGTTTCCCCAACTGATTTTGCTTATTGTAAACTGGTTGGGAAGATCACGAATCATGATCACATGAATGCAACATGCCAGCTGGTTGCAAAGCACCTGAATTGCAATCAAATCACTACAAGGGTTAAAACTTTGAGGACATGTTGTAGGTCACTTTTTTCTAAGGCTGTCATAACTTTCAACTGTTGTTAAATGAATGGTTGCAAGTGGAGGATTACCTGTAACGGGGGTATATTAATGGTGGGAAAGAGGGCAGTTTATATGATAGCACAGATGACCAAAGGCATGGAGTTATATGCAGGCAACTGCCTCTCGCTGTCTATGAACTGAACAATTGAGTGAATGACAGAAAAACAAGAGTGATATTCCATGTACATAAAAAGCAAAAGAAACGAAAAGAAAGAAAACCTAAGAAGTAACTAATAATACTAAATACTATTAAAAAGCCATGTAGTAGAGAACAGAATAATTGCAGAAAATACGGTCAGAGAAATTTGTGTTTCTGATGCTAAGACAGGATGACTAGAAGATAAAGGTCCATCCTACTTCCATGTGTTTGCTAAACATCTCTGCTTTAACAGCTTCCATTTTCCGGGAGGCTACATTTTCTTGTTGACAAGATTAAATATGCCATTTTTAACAGAAATTATTGCAGTGGTTTTCAAGCTATTCTTGGTTAGAAATATACGCACAAAACTCTCTCCAAATTTGGCATAGGGATTTTTTCACAGAATAGAATAGAATAACAACTTTATTGTCACTTTGAATGTACACTAATCAGCATACATTAAAATGAAAGTTTGTTGCATATAGCTCTCATAGGATCACCGCCTCCAATATACACTACATAAATATGACAAAAATAAATAATAAACAAATACAGAATTATGCATATACCCACATATATTATATGACACAGAGAAACAACACAGTCTAGTTCGGATTTTGTATACATGTACATGGCGAGAAAAACAAATCTTGCAAGTTTACCAGACAGAGGGCATAGAGCAGGGGTGTCAAACTCAATTTCATTGAGGGCCGCATCAGCATTGCGGTTGCCCTCGGGGGGCCGGGTGGGTGTGGCCAGGGTGGGTGTGGCCTACTGGGTGGTCATGGATGGAGTGGGTGTGGCCTACTGGGTGGGCATGGCCAGCTCCACATCATTCGCGTCAAGGGTGCCTGTGGGGGCCTGGGCAGGAGTGGGACAGACCTGAGGGTCTCTGGCAGAAGGGGGTGGGACCAGGGCAAGCGCCAAGGCATGGTCCATTTCTTCATTCCTCACAAAGGGTGACACCTCCCCAGCATGCACCCAGAGGGCGGGGACAACGTGGCAGGGGCTGGTTCCTCGCTGTTTCTAGACAGCCTTGTGGAGCTAAGACTGAATGCGTTTCAGCATAGATGGCCACCACAAAATTGTACATTGGCTCTTGGCCGGCCTGGGCCAGGGCCAAGGAAGCGGGGACCGTTCCCTCACTGTTTCCAGGATGGCTTCGCGGGCCACATGAAACCATTTCGCAGGCCGCATCCGGCCCCCGGGCCTTGTGTTTGACATATCTGGCAGAGAATCTAGCTATTACAGAATCGGGTAGTCCTGCTACAAATACTTTGAAACCTCCTCCCAGAGGGAAGCAACAGAAACAGAACATAAAGTGGGTGTGTGGTGTCTATAACAATGCTTTGAGCTCTAAGCACATAGCGCTTATAAGCTACTCACTGCAAAATTTCATATAGAATTTGCAGAAAACTGTTAAATGCTTATTTTATTATTTTTACAATTTATGATATGCAGCAAATATATAATTTAGCCTTCTGATTGAGATTTATTCAAAGAAATATAGTGGTAGAAAACAGCAAGATGAAAAATGGATTGATTCAATAGTATAACCAGTGAAATCATTGGGAAATTGTCATGATTAACTTAAATTCTATTGGTTTCAATTTAAGTAACTGCAAGTACTGCATTCTACATGCTGGTCTATGACCGAATAAAGAGTTGATGTTGCTGATTGGTTTCAATGAATATGATTATGGAACCAAATCCTACATTTACTGTATATCATTTAATAATAGCCAGCCAAACCTATTCTGGAAGTAAATGCCAGCGTCTGGAGTTTTTCAGTGTGGATATTCAACAATTCAGTGGATAAGAAAACAATAAAGAATTTGGTATACCTGCTAATATTAAGGCTCTGGCGCATTCACTTCGGCCTTGAATGGCAGATTTCATAAGTGCAGTAAATCCAAATGCATTCCTTTTCTCAATATCAAGACCGGAATAATAGTTGAGTAAATATTGTGTAATGTTAATATGTCCTACCAAAAGAACAAAAATTATAAAGAATATTTAAAATCAATACAAATATTATCTGATTAATTTTTATAGGATTTTAAAATAATGACATGCTAATGCACAAAGGAAATTTTCCATTCTCTCTCTCTCTCTCTCTCTCTCTCTCTCTCTCTCTCTCTCTCACACACACACACACACACACACACACACACACACGTAAGTCTTATATATTCAAATACCAACTGAAACATAAAGTGCTATGGCACAGACACTAAGTAAGATATTCACGGAATGAATTCACCCCACTTGTTTCCTTTATCTGAACCTACATTTTTTTTTCCTTCAGAGTAATTTTTCTTCCAGAGCTATTAGCCCCTGAACAATGCTGAAGGGAACACAAGGGCAGTTCAAGGGCACTAAAATTCCCTAAATTTATGTTTGATTCTCAGGTAAATGAAGCTTAAGGAAAAGCATAAGACTCTTACCCAGCAATTCCCTGCCAGACTGCTTAGCACAGAGGTCCCCAACCCTCAGGCCATGGATCGGTACTAGTCCGTGGTTTGTTAGGAACCGGGCTGAACAGCTGGAAGTGATGGCGAGCATGTGAGCAAATCCGAAAACATCCCCCCTCCCCAAGTCCATGGAAAAATTGTCTTGCATTAAACTGGACCCTTATGCCAAAAAGATTAGGGACTGCTGGCTTAGCAGATATGCCCAATTATTTGGCAAGGCTTTGGGGGACTTACACATGACTGCAAGAAAAAGCTTGTATCTCATGAACTTCCTTACATTATCTAATAATAAGCCTTCTGAAACACAATAGTAAACAAACAAGAACTAACTTATAAAAAGATTAACATCTTCAGACTAAACGTTAACTAAAGTTACTTCAGGCAATCTTATCCATGGTCAGAAATAATTTCTGTGGCAGCCATCAAGAATTCCTCTGTAGATATACTTTCTATATCCATTACCTAGTAATTACAATTTAACATGTATGGATCACATTTGCTCAGATAGCAGGAAGTAACTGATTCAACGGTCCCAAAAACCTAGGTTATTTTCCACATTAATCTGGAAAGCCTTTTTGGGTAAAGTGCATAAGAAAATGGAGTACGCAGTTGCAGAACAGACAACAGAGCAGTTAGATAGCATATATTTTAACAGAAACACAATAATTTTTGCCAAATTTTGTAAGCAAAATGTTGGACTGCTTAGAGAAATGGATATACTTCTGGTGGAAAATAATTTAAACAAAATCTGAGTGGCTTGAGAATGTTGTTATTCAAGAGTTATGAAGTGAAAGTTGATATTCCTGTATTAACAATACAAGACAATGAAGATCATGCCTCAAAAAGCAAGCTAATCTGCATATGAGAATTTCTTCAAAGACCCTTTTTGAGCTCCTTCAGAATCTTGGAATGATGATTTGATAAAATATTGGCCTGGTCAACACACTGATGATTCCCAAAGACACTCTCTAAGTAAGGAAGACTATTCCATTTGATCTTCTGTATCCAATACCAGTTACTTGAGTGTTTTCTTTGCATTCTTGAAATCCAACATCAGAAGGGCATTGCTGGAGAAAATATAATTCAGTTGCTGAGAAGGTGATTTTTTTCCAATTTAAATTGAAGTTCAAAATAGATAACCTTTACTAATAAACATATATATTTAACCAGAGACAGGTCTCCCCTTTAGTTTTAGCCTCTTTGTATGTCAAGAACTGAATGAAGTTATCTTGCAGTTATTCTTAAGCAGACTTTCTTAGTATGGTACTTCACTGTGAAAGGCCCTCCCTCCTAAAATTTGTGAATTGGCTACAATTATATCTGTTACTAGAAGTGCCTTTTAAAGTTTATCCAGGCTTTTCTTATATCACCATGATACATATGTATTTCCCCCACTTTTAAGTGGCATATGCCATTTTTTATTCTTTTTTATATTTTGTGTGAGAGTCCCCTTTTGGTATTCTGTTATCTGCTGGTTGCCATGTTATATTTTTATTTTGTATTTGTTTATTGTTATATATATATTCTTTACTGAGTTGGATGGTCTTACAGATATTGCAAATAAATAAACATGATTTTAATCAATGGGTTATATTTCTAATGAGGTGCTTTGGGATCTGTTATAATGAGAAGGATATAGACATCAGTATTTATTTATGTGTTTGCTTTTTATTTAATTGTTGTCTTACTGGCCATGTATTATAGTTTTCCACATAGATCTTGACTCCTGCAGTTTTCTTGGCAACATTTTCAGGTGTGGCTTGCCGTTACTGTCTTTCCATTATAGAGAGGGAATGGCACCCAGCTGGCTTAGTGCCTAAGATGGGACTAGAACTCCACTTTCCCTGTTCCCAGCCTAGTATCTTTAATTACCACATCAAATTGGCCAAAGTTCCAATTTTCAGCATGGGGAATAACATTTATACAGAGGATATAAGTGAATTGATGAAATAAATAAACTTGGAGAATAGAATATATTCATTCTTAGAAATAGTTTCAACAAATCATTAGCTGTAATCTTCGTTTGAGGACTGTTTTTTTGCTTGCCTACATGTAGCAAATCTATCAGAAGGGACAATCTATCACAGAGAAACATTATAGACGTAGGGCAGCTTGTAGGCTGAAGACCAATTAAACCAGACATGTCAAACACAAGGCCCGGGGGCCGGATATGGCCCGCGAAGTGGTTTCATGTGGCCCGTGAAGCCATCCTGGAAACAGTGAGGGAACGACCCCTGCTGCCTTGGCCCAGGCCAGCCGGGAGCCAATGTACAATTTTGTGGTGGCCATCTTGACACTTGCCCCGGTGGACCATGCCTTGGCACTTGCCCCAGTCCCACCCCCTTCTGCCTCAGATCTGTCCCACTCCTGCTCAGGCCCCCATAAACACCCTTGATGCAAATGATGTAGAACTGGCCACGCCCACTCAGTAGGCCACAACCACTCCATCCACGCCCACCCAGTAGGTTGCACCCACTCTGGCCACACCCACCGGGGCCCCCCAGGGCAACCACAATGCTGATGCGTCCCTCAGTGAAATTGAGTTTGACACCCCTGAATTAAACCATCAACTCCTTGTCTCCAATCTGACAGAACAACATAAATCTTTAGTGCCATTATTCCTCAATCAAAACATGTTTTTCTAACTTGCCATTTGCCAGGTTGCTCATACTGTTACATACAAAAGTAGCTCAATTACTGTGAGGTTTAAAAAATATTTCCTTATTTTACTTTGCAATCCAGTTAGTCTCATTTTACTTTGAAATCTACAGTGCATGTCAATCAATGGTATTAAGAAAGTTTAAATAGGTAACTCAATTGCATTATCTATTCAAATCTTTAAAATCAGAAACTGTCAATCACAGAATGAATATAAAAAAAAATCATTTTAATGATTTCAAAGATCCTGGAGCACTGGGGAACTACCAGAGGACTGGAAAAGAGCTGATGTAGTTCCCATCTTCAAAAAAGGGGAAAAAATGGATCCATGAAACTATAGACCTATCAGCCTGACCTCAATACCTGGAAAGATTCTAGAAAAGATAATCAAGCAACAAATCAGTGAACACCTAGAGGCAAAAAAAGTCATTACCAAAATCCAACATGGGTTTGTCAAAAACAGATCACGCCAGACAAATCTTATTGTATTCTTGACCAAGTGACAAAATTAGTGGACCAAAGGAATGCTGTGGATATAATTTACTTGGACTTCAGTAAGGCATTTGATAAAGTAGACCACAACCTACTACTTGATAAGATAGAAAAATGTGGATTAGACAGCATCATCACCAGATGGATTCGTAGCTGGCTGACCGGCCGTACTCAGTGTGTGGTCCTTAATGGAACTGCATCTACATGGAGGGAAGTGTGTAGTGGGGTGACCCAGGACTCTGTTCTGGGCCCAGTGCTCTTCAACATATTCATCAATGATTTGGATCAGGGGATAGATGGGGAACTCATCAAATTTGCTGATGACACCAAGCTGGCAGGAATAGCCAACGCTCCAGAAGGTAGGCTTAAGATACAGGAGGATCTGGACAGACTTGGACATTGGGCACTATCTAACAAAATGAAATTCAATTGTGACAAAAGTAAGGTTCTACATTTAGGCAAGAAAAACCAAATGCACAGGTACAGTATAGGTCAGGGGTTGGCAACCTTGGCTCTTTTATGACTCGTGGACTTCAATTCCCAGAAATCCTGAGCCAGCCATGCTGGCTCAGTAATTCTGGGAGTTGAAGTCCATGAGTCATAAAAGAGCCAAGATTGCCTACCCCTGGTATAGGGGGTACCTTGCTCTATTATAGTAACTGTGAGAGGGATCTGGGAGTCCTAGTGGACAATCACTTAAATATGAGCCAGCAGTGTGCTGCATCAGCCAAAAAAGCCAACACAGTGCTGGGCTGCATTAACAGAGGGATAGAATCAAGATCACATGAAGTGTTATTACTTTACAATGCCTTGGTAAGGCCACACTTGGAATACTGCATCCAGTTTTGGTCACCACGATGTAAAAAAGATGTTGAGACTCTAGAAAGGGTACAGAGAAGAGCAACAATTATGATTAGGGGACTGGAGGCTAAAACATATAAGGAATAGTTGCTGGAATTGGGTATGTCTAGTTTAATGAAGAGAAGGATGAGGGTTGACATGATAGCAGTGTTCCAATATCTCAGGAGTTACCACAAAGAAGAGGGAATCAAGCTATTCTCCAAAGCACCTGAAGATAAGACAAGAAGTAACGGATGGAAATTAACCAAAGAGAGAAGCAACCTAGAACTAAGGAGATATTTCCTGAGTTAGAACAATTAATCAGTGGAACAACTTGTCTCCAGAAGCTGTGAATGCTCCAACACTGGAAGTTTTTAAGAAGAGACTGGACAGCTATTTGTCTGAAATGGTATAGGGTTTCCTGCCTGAGCACGGGGTTGGACTAGGTGACCTCCAAGGTCCCTTCCAACTTTATTATTATTATTATTATTATTATTATTATTATTATTATTATTATTATT